AAGGAAGGAAGGAAGGAAGGAAGGAAGGAAGGAAGGAAGGAAGGAAGGAAGGAAGGAGAAAAGGAAAAAGGGAGAGAGAAATCCATCTAACCTCAGCACATCCCATTTGAAGGTGGTTTGGCAATATAGCTCCAGCTGAAGTGTTATCTTCTGGTTGCCAAGAGACTCCTTAACACACTGCATGAAGATCTTTACATAGACTGCTCTTCCCATCAGTATCCATGCCCTCTATTCTACTTTCTCTGTCTTTTAGGTGCCACAGGGCTCACTTCCCTCCCACTTCAAGCCCTTGCCTCCTACCTCATCTTTGCTTTTGCTGGCTCTGACACTTCCTTTTAAAATCCCTGTGAGTTTCTGATATTATCTGTGCAGAAATAGTGAGGAGGATAGAAAGGAGAAAGGGCCTAAGAAGTTCACTGTACTTGGACATAGAGGTATAGCCAAGATATAAACTATTAAAAAGATACTCAACCAGGTGCAGAATGTTCCTATATACAAAATAGGAGCTGAGGGATAGCAGCACTCTAATTAAGTACACATACAGATCCAGATGTCTCTTGTAGAGTATGAGGAAAATCTCCATCGTTCTGCATGTTTCTGAGTAAGTCTTAAGACTGTATTATACAGTCTTCAAAAGAAAGCAACTCTTGAAGTGAAGCAAGGAAGGCACAAACGTGCTAGTGCCACATGTACATTTAATAGAGAGACATGTAAACCAGTGCACACATAACATCTTTCCAGACAGATACTCAAGGACTAGGAAATCATTGTTCTGTTTTTAAAGGACCAACCTGGCTGCTAAGAAAGGGAAGGCTGATGAAAATTCATTTCTTATTAACTGTAGTTATTCCATTTAATTCATATTTTAAAATGAATATAAGCCAATTAACGGTTGAAAATTAAAATTTCCTACAATCTGTACATTCTTTCTCAATGTCAAATCTTTCCCATTTTCTATAAAAGGTCCTGTGGTAGCAGACTAGCACACTGCTAGGGCTTGTCAAAGAACAAGAATGAAAGTGGCTAGAAAGGTAGCTCAGTAGTTAAAAGCACTGGATGCTATTCCAGAGGACCCAAGTTTGATTCTCAGCACTGATATGGAGGCTCACAATCTGTAACTCCAGTTCCAAGGGATCAGACACGCTCTTCTGGCCTTCTTGGGCACCAGGCACAAACATGGTACATAGACATATATGCAGGCAAACCACCATATAAAGTAAAATTAAATTTGAAATAAATAAAATATGTAAAAACAAGTGTGGCAAAACATATAGCAAGTGTTTACCACTGGGGGAAAATGAAGGAGACGAGAGGACTTTCTGCTCTGCTCTGTTCTATCTTAACGCCTTCACAAAGTGCAATAGTTATGAATTGCTAGTATGGCATCTAAAGACTAAAAATGGAACACAATATTTTGGTGGCTGCAGTCACAGAACTTGAGAAAGAATATTTAGTCAAAGGCTAAGTTGTCAAGTGTGAAGAACACAAAGCTTTTGTGAAAATACTGACCCACACAAGAATTACTGCTTGTGGTAAAGGGAGGCAAGCAGAAACCACTGGCCTAATATTCAAGAAACCCTGAGCAATCCTCCAAATGCTAATACAAGTGTCTAACTGAGGCCTTCCAAATTTCTAAGACTCCCTTCATCCCACTGTCTCCCTGCAGAAGTGGCAATTATCTTAGCTTCCACTACATTGAGTAACCCCATTTTATGAAGTTCTGTGGACACTTGACACTCACCTGGTACAGATCCAAAATGCTGTATGTATTCCCAAAAACTCATCTACAGCTTCATTTTTTTAATGTAAATAATTCCTTCCATTCTCAACAAAGCAGATTCAGAACTAGTTTAGCAAGACCCCTCCTCTCTCTAGGGGTGCCAGAATGAGGAGCAGTTTGCCCTCCCCTGAAAGGGAAGAAGAGCCTCTAACTTACCTTGAAAGCTACAGCTTTTCCGAATGTGGTACAGACAAATCTGATCACTCTCCTCTTGGCTAGGAGTGCCTGTTGACACAGAACCTGAACCATCTTTTCTTTCTACAAAGAAATACCACAAAATAGATCAGCTTCCATTGACACTTTCTATGTAGGATTATACTACTTCACAGCTAAAAGGAAGAAAGAATTTATTCATCTCTCTGCATGAGACAAAAGTAGCCTAGACAAACTGATAGAACCCATCCTTCGAGGGATAAAAGTCCCCCCAGTCACCCAAGTAGCCACCTGACTTTTACGGTAAATCCTACAACACTCAGCACACAGCTTTTTACTAAACCCAGGACACCACAGAGGGGTACATTTTTCAATTCTGACTGCCCATCCAAGCCACTAGGAAAGAAAAAATTGAAGGTTATTTTAAAAATCATATTTAGTTCCGATAGCAAGTATTTATCAATGAAGTCTTTAGAACGAGGTACTAACAAAGAAGGTAATATATGGGAAGTTTTCATCTGCAAATAAAATATTTTTAATTTTAGTTTACTTGTAAGGCTCTTAACACACGATAGGCATATTAAGTTCTTTCAAAGTGTACCTTTCTCATTACCATTCCAATGAGTCTACCTATTACATTTACCCCATCCACTTATGCTCAAGTACACAAGGACATCTGCTCAGCCATGTACATAGCAGCTTTATTCCTAATAGCCAGAATCTGGAAACAACCAGATGTCCCTCAACGGAGGAATGGATACAGAAATTGTGGTGCATTTACACAGTGGAATACTATCCTGCAATTAAAAACAAGGAAATCATGAAATTTGCAGGCAAATGAATGGAACTAGAAAAGATCACCCTGAGTGAGGTAACTTAACCCCAAATAATAAAAAGCTCATTGATAATCTCTATGCATTTACTATCCTGTCACTCTGTTATCTGCATCTCCTTTTTTCATTTTATAAACTCCCAGATATCCTACAGGCTGGGCCTCAAATCCCACACCTGGGAGCCCCTGAAGTTCCCCTTTTCTCTCCAGGGTAGTGACCGTTCTTGAGACCTGAGTCACTCAGCAGTGGATCTGCCCCTTATTTTTTCATAATCCAGATGACGCTCTGAAAATTATTTAAAGCAAAACCTTTGTATATCTGAGGATCAACAAAAATATCTGAAGAGATGGGGAGGACAGCTCAGGAAGTGCTTGCCCTGCAAGCTTGAAGATCACAGTTCAGTCCCTCAGAACCCACATTTTTAAAATCTGAGTGGAGCTAGAGAGCTGGTTCAGCAGTTAACAGCACTGCCTACTGTTCCAGAAGACTCACATTCATTTTCTAGCACCCATTCGGTTTCTTACAACTATCTATAATTCCAGTTCCAAGGGATCTGATGCCTTCTTCTGATCTGTGGGCACCAAGGAAGTAAGTGATGCAGAGACAAGCAAAACAGACATACACATATAATAAAATAACGATTTGGGTCAGATATGGTGATGCGTTCTTTAGTCAAAGTACTTGGGAGGGAGAAGTAGGTGGATCTCTGTTGAGTTCAAACATAGCCTATTCCACATCAAGAGACCTTGCCTCAAAAAACACAAAACATATTTCTTTTTTTAAAAAGCTGAGCATGGTTAGGCATGCTTGTAGCCCCAGGGTTGGGGATGCACAGACAGACAAATAGATTCCTTGGGGCTCACTGCCGGCCAGCCTAACCTATGTGATGAGACCCAGGACAATGCGAGATTCTGTCTCGAAAAAAAAAACCAAGGCAAACAGCACTTAAAGAACAGCAACTGAGGTCGTCATACTAGTACAAGTATGACCTCCTATATGCACATGAACCTATCTAGGTACATATGCACACAAACACACAAATTGAAGAAAATACAAAGAAAAAGTAGAGTTAGCAGGAGCGATTTTTAACTATGACAATCAGATAAGATTAGAGAGGTCAATATGCTTGCTGGTGGTCTTCACATTCACCTGCTATTTTAGAAAAAGTTCTATTAATAATGTTTTATATCTCAATGGCTAAATGAGTAGATGGATATGATGATGTGCTCTGAGGCAGAGGCATGACTGAAACCAGCACATGGCACATTCTCAAAGCTGCTGAAATGAAAGAGCAGAGAACCAAGTGGCCAGATGACAGCCTCTGGAGCAAAATCCAAATGAATCAAGTTTTCAAATGCTCCCTCAAGGGCCATGTTATTCATCCAGCAGGTAGTTAAGAAATGCTTGGTAAGTAAAAAATCTCTAGCCAGGCACAAAGACATGTACTTAAAGCTTCAGCTGCTAGGAAGACTGAAGCAAAAGACCATTTTGTCAAATCTGAGGCTGATATGGAGAACAGAGGAAGATGTCATCTCAAAAAAAAAAAAAAAGGCAAAAAATTGTGTGCATTGCAGCTTCAAATTTTAGATTTGTGTATTTAATACATAAATGGAGGGCTGGAGAGATGGTTCCGAGGTTAAGACCACAGACCACTGGCTGTTCTTCCAGAGGTCCTGAGTACAATTCCCAACCACATGGTAGCTCCCAACCATCCATAATGAAGATGATCTGGTACCCTCTTCTGGCTTGCAGACACTCATGCAGGCAGAACATTGTATATATAATAAATAAATATTTTTTAAAATATCTATGGAGGTCAGAAAGCTGGAGGGGGCAAATGAGGAAGAGAAGAGACCATAAGGCAGGGGAGGAATTAGAATACAAGTAGTTGGGGAACACTGGGGGTTAAAGATTTAAGTACAGATAAGGTCTTGGGTATGGTAGGGGGGAAAAGGCAGGGGTGCATTTCCTGAAACTAAGGCTCTATTTAAAAATCTTACAAACACACTGCTTTATAAGCTACTTTAAATTAAATATATAATTTTTAAAAGGAATTTGAGTAGAGGTACACTGCGTAGGTAGACAATTCTTCCCCCCCAGAACACATGGGATACTAAATAAAAATCTCAGTTCCAGGCATGAGATACCTCTCTATTAGTTACTGGTCAGAGAGGACCCACAGGCAATCTCACAACCAAAATGACATAGACTATTGTTATTACTCTTGTTCGCTGAGCATAAGTAGATAGTTGCTGAAGATACATGTTTTGAAAAACAGAGAAATCAGCTGGAACTGACCTGAAAACATCCTCCCTGCTAATTTTCAGTGTTAGAAGGCACATGGCAGGCCACTGGAGGAGAAAAGTCATCAATGGAATACCCAGCAGTGGATTCTGCAAGCTACAATATCAGTCTGTTAGGCAAAACATGCCTACTGGTACAATAATATATTGTACAACTAATATCAGAGTGTAACCAACTGCTTTCTGATTGAATTTTGGCTTGCTCTATAAGATGAAAATCATGATTGGTACTGAAAACCCGACCAAAAATCCATGACTGGAGAGGTCATAGGCATGAGAGGGTTACTTACTACTGTTGTTTTGTTAAATGCACATGTTGTCAAAGCACCTTTTAAATAGTATTTAAACCCATATATTAGTGGGGCTCACAATCTTAGTTTAAAAAGCTTCTTTTTGCAGTGAGCAGCAATCAATGCAGAATTATAACTGGTCAAAGTGCTGAAAATAAGTGACTTTTACGTGCTTATTCCTAAATAAAACATTTGTAACAACCCCCTCAAGGCTCAGAGAACACAGAAGAGAGGACAAAAGACTAGAAGAGCTGGAGGATGGGAAGAACACTCTGAAATGCTGTATTCCAGACATGGCACAGCCATTGCACTCACACACTGACAACCGCTATGGTTTACCTACACAAGATTAAGCCAGTCAACATTCCACTGTGGATGGGAGAGGGGCTTACGAGGCTCCACTCCTAGCTGGGGAGTGGTTGGCAAGTGATTACTGACTGGGAGAGGAAGAATCATTTTTCTTTGGAGAAATGGACAACCACTGTCCATCTGTCCATCCCCAGGAGGATGGCCCCATGCCAACATGCACGCAGGCAGCACTGATTTGATCCAAGTCCAACAGCCTGAGCTTGATCTTTGGAACCCCCATGGTGAAAGGAGAAAACTGATTTTGTTCTCTGACCTACACATGTGTTATGAGACATACATGCATGCATGCATACATGTACACACACACAAATAAATGTAAATATTTTTTGTTGTTTTTCAAGACAAGGTTTCTCTGTGTTACCTTGGCTGTCCTAGACTTGCTTTGTAGACCAGGCTGGCCTTGAACTCACAGAGATCATTATGCCTCTACCTCCCTGAGTGCTGGGATTACAGGTATGCACCACCACACCCAGCTAAATAAATAATTTTTTTAATGATAACATGAGGGATCTAAAGAAATGGGTCAATGGTTAAGAATATTTACTGCTCTTCCAGAGGATCTGAGATCAGTTCCCAGTCCCCACATGATGGCTCTTAAAACCACCTGTAACTTCAGTTTCAGAGGATCTGATACCTTTTTCTGACATCTATGGGCACTTGCACACCTGTGGCATACATTCACAAATGCACACACATACACATAAATAAAAGAAAAAAAACTTTTTAAAAATCACATAAAAGTTGAAGGAGAAAGTACTGGAAGAAACTGGAAAGAATAGGAAGGGGATTTGGGCTAGATATGATTAAGAATGTATGTATGTGTGAAATCATCAAAGAATTACTAAAAACTATTCTTTTCTGTATCAGGGACTAGAGATGGCTTAGCAGTTGAGAGCTCTGACTCCTCTTCCAGAGGACCTTAGGTACAATTCCCAGCATCTACACAGTGGCTCACAACTATCTTCAACTCAGGTTCCAGAGGATCCAGTACCTTCTCCTGGCCTCTGCAAGCATCAGGATGTGTGGTACAAAGACACACAAATAAGAAAAACTCCTACAAACATATTTTAAATGTCAACTTAAAATTCCTCTATCTGTCACTAAGCCTGACAGACAATAAAAAAAAAAAAAATTCCCACCACACTCACTCACGCTCGATGTATGAGCTAGGCACTGTCTAGGTGCTGAAAAGAAGCAAAGACTAAGGTTCAAAACTTTAAAATGAGGAGGAAAACTTCTGCTTACCCATGGCGGAAGATGGCCAAGGCCACAGCTTTACAAATGCACTAATTTGTAATATCATAAAGAATGTACCTAATGAACACCCCTCGAGCTGCATAACCAGCATCCCAACTCTAGAACCCTCACTGAAAGAAAAAAAATTCTCCAGGGGTGAAAGGCAATTACACGGGGAGAGCTGACCTCATTTCAGTGGAGACCCAGCTCCTCTAGAATTAAAAATGTAGCAACCACAACTCACATCAACTCACATCTTGACTGTGTCTAGATTTGAACCATCTTTACAACCTCCTGGTTAGGAAAGGATCAATGAGTCTTACTAAAAGAGGTCCACACTTGTACAAAGTTATGTTCTGTTTACTAGCCAACAAAAATCCAGGCCTAACCCAAGGCCTACAGTGCTTTCCATCAGCCTTACCAGAAGTCCCTTGTGGACCTGCAGGAGATTTGCTGAGGGCTGAGCCCTTATTCTTGATGTCATATGCATTCCGGTAAGTAGAGGGCAGCCTGCTCACCAGGTCAGAGCTTAAACCCAACCTCTCCAATTTCTCCAGATTCTCAGAGTTGGTTAACTCGTGAGACCGCTTACAACTAGTGCCAAACTTGCATTCTCCCTGTAAGTAGTACTGGCAGATATGGAGCTTAATGCATTGCTTTTGGAAGGAGCAGGAGCCGAATGGTCCATCGCCTTTGTTGTAATGCAGGCAGATCTGTTGACAAAGAGAAGACAGACATCATCCCATGAACACTGTACACAGCACATCCCTCAATGGCTATGCCATGGGGAAAGAGGGCCCCATGACCAGTGTATTATTCCACCATTCACATGGGCCATAGAGAACTTATCTCTCATTTAACACATGGGCACCAAAATATTCCCAAAGCTAAAATATACTCCAAACAAGAGCTCCCTTGGAAGATCCATAGAACTTCAAAGAGGCCAGAGCAGTAGCAGCCACCTATCCACCCCAATCTGCTTACCCTTGACCCCACATATAGCCTCATCAAACCAAATACCCCTTACCAGTTCATTTCTCTAAATTTTCCTTTCAAAATTCAAAGTCAGAGAGGTTCTGAGGGTTAAGGCATCTCAGAATTGGCCAAACACCACCCCTTCATTTCTCAAGGGAATTAGCAGACTCCAAAGCTCAACAGCTAGTGCCAAAAAGATGGCTCAGCAGGTAAAGGCACTCACTGCTCAGGCCTGAAGACTTGATTCAAATACCAGAGCCCACATAATGGTGGGAGGAACAACTCCCTGGACTTGTCCTCTGACCTCCATACTTTGGCACAAGCATATTCACATTCACCCTTGTACATATGTGTTCATGCCCAGCCCCACTCCTAATACATTTAATAAATTTTGTTAAAATGTCATCAGCTAGCCCCAGTCACACAGCTAGTCACTGTATGTGTTGTTTGCTCAACTGAGTTGCTGGCAAACCTACAACTGTCTTCTGGTTTACTGATACAAGGTCTCCCACAGCCCAAACTGGCCTCAACCTACATAGCTAAAGAAAGGATGAGTCTTATTCCTCTGCCTCCACCATCCAAGTGTTGAAGTAACAAACACGCACCACAGTATATAACTACGAACTTGCACTTGAACTTCAATCAACTACTCCTTTTCTACACTCCAAATACTTCAATATGGAAACTGGCCCACCTACTTGATTCCTAGACATTACATTCCACAAGCTTCAGGAGTGGAACCCAGTTTTCTTTCAATGCCTCCATTCCACAGATGGTCTACCCAAGGGAAAAAGCCAGATATCAATTCTGACAACTGCCTTGGACAAGCCACCTACCTTTTGAGATTCCATCTTTGAATCTCTAAAATAGGTACAATGCTACCAATATCACGGGAAAACATGAAAATGTTAAACAAGGCTGACATATAAGAGGTGCCAGACTGCCCTCATCCTCAGCACCCCCAAACACCTTTCCCCACATTTTGGAATGTGAACTCTCAATGTCTTAAACATCACCCCCAAATCATCCCCTGACCTTTCAATCCCATCATTTGATTTGCCTCCCTTGATGGAAAAGCAGGGTCTTTATCGCCTGATCACCAATGCCTAACCAACAATGAGTATTCCAGAAAATTTAGATGAATTAAATCAATATGAATTTTCAAAAGGCAAATATAAAAATGTGCCAGTCATGATGCTATGCTACCATTTCTCAAATGAGTAACAATAATTGTCTAATATGGAAACATCTGCATTAAAATATGCCAATCTAGGGGCTGAAGAGATGGCTCAGAGGTTAAAAGCACTGGCTGTTTTTCCAAAGGTCCTGAGTTCAATTCCCAACAACTAAAGTGGCTCATTACCATCTACAATGAGATCTGGTGCCCTCTTCTGGCCTGCAAGCAGAATACTGTATAAATAATCTCTTTAAAAAACAACAAAAAAACAATCTAATTCATTCGCTCAAACTTGTAACAGTGTCAAAACATCCCATGTAACCTGCCCCATCCATGGAAAACACCCTGCTCAGATCTACTGGAGAAACTCAAGGCCCAGAGAAGCCCTACAGAACCAGAGTCCTCTTCACACTGAGGCCTTGACTAGCAAAATACAACACAGCACTGATCCTAAAGCAGTCTTATCTGCTGAGTCACAGCATTCCTGAAGCAGCACCCAGGAACCTGGTAGAACTGTTCTTGACATCATGCTACAGTCAGTCTCCTACTCAACCCCTCCCTTGCCGTGAGTATCATCCTTACCAGCTGCTGTCTAAAGGTTCTGAATACCTTCTCCTGCTCTTTACCCAATAAATCTTTTGTACTGCTCATCTTCTCCCTCCAAATGACATAGAGATAATGCAATAAGCTTACATGATCTGAGACTTCATGTCAAATTCTAATGTACAAATTCTCCTGGTACAAGGGAATAAACAGTATAGAGAACTGGGTGACTGTCAAGCAGCTCTGGAAGGCTTCACCACAGCCAAGAGCAATACTCAAACATGTAGTTCCAATTCCTGCTCTTCAGGGATAGGCCAGCTGGGGTTTCTCATTCTGCTCAGTTCTAAGTAAGTTCTAACTTGCTCAGGTGCTGGACAACTTCACTAAATCACCACAGAGATGGTGCCAGCACAACTGATAGAGAAGGAAAAATTTCAAGAGGTGCCAAGGCTGCTTGCTCCAAGATCAGCAGAGCCGGATATTAAATCCAAGTCTCTTCAATGCAGTGGTTCTTAATCAAAACAGCGTTCTCAGCTCTCTTCAGCACTGAGTTATCTATCTTCCAAACATCTGGCTTCTCCACTATTGCTTGCAAAGAAGACCCCCAACTTCCAACATCCCTCTAGCACTCACTTCTGGTAAAAGCCATGGGTCATTCTGAACCAAGAGTTGGCAAAGCTCACTATAGGTGAGGTGGTCAACACCATGAGTTCTCAGCACACTCAGGTTGTGATCAGTCTTCAAGTTGTGACCATTTCTACAGTTCTTCCTGCAAAGAAGCAAAGATGGTGTTATACGCTAAATCTGATGTCCCCTAAAATCCCCTACTAGAATTCCAACTTCCAGATCCTTAGGATATAAAACTTCTTTTGAAGATAGGGTCATGAGAGAGGTAATTAAAACGAGGTCATTAGAGTGGCCCCAATTCAAGATGACTAATGTCCTTTAATAAAAAAGGAGACTAGGGAATAGATCCATATAGAGAGAAGATCTTGTAAAAACCCCAGGAAGATGGCCATTTGAAAGCCAAGGAAAGCAACCTCAAAAGAAACTAACTTGTCCAACACCTTATTTCAGAATTCCATCTTCCAAAATTATGAGAAATAAATTTTTGTTGTTTAAGTCTCCCAATCTGCCAGGTATTGTAGCATACACCTGTAATCCCAGCACTCAGAAGCTGAGGTAGGGGGATCACGAGTTCTAGACCTCTATGAAAGAAGGGAGGAAGGAAAGGGAAGAAGTGGAAGGGAGGGAGGGAGGAGAATGAGAGGAGAGAAAGGGGGAGTGAGAGAGAGGGAGGAAAGGAGAGGAAGAAGAAAGGTCAGAGCTACCCAATTTATGATACTTTACAGAGCTAATGAAATCATGCTTCATGGCACTTTTTCAAACACTTCCTGACCTTCCTTCTAAGCAGCAGAGAAAAAAACAGCTACGCATGAAAACATGTGCTGACTTAGTAAAAAGAGATGAGACTGGACAATGTCTAAGGGCCAGAACAACACTTCTCAGCAGGTATGTAATGAGAAGAGGAAGGCCACCATGCCAAAAGGTGCCATAGCACACTGGCCAGGCAGTAAGCACTTAAACATGGATTAAAACCTGAGCAGGGGTGGGACAGGATAGCACAAGCTTTTAATCCCAGAACTTGGGAAGCAAAAGCAGGCAGATTTCTGAGTCTAAGGCCAGCCTGGGCTACACACTGAGTTCCAGAACAGCCTATGTAGAGACCCTGTCTCAACCCAACCCCAATGCCCCCCCAACAAAAAAATTAGCAGGGGGTACCAGAATGGCTCAGCAGTAAGAGCACTGTATGACACTTCCAGAGGTCCTGCATTTAATTCCCAACACCCATACTGGGTGTCTCACTAACTCTCTTCTGGCCTTTGAAGGCACCTGTACTTAAGTGCAAAACTCCCTCCACTCTACCCCCATATAGACACATAATTTCAAACAATAAAATCAATGTTTTTAAACTGCTAAGCAGGGTGATTCATGATTCCACGTATGTGTACACATGGACATACACTCCTGGGTCCCACCCTTTGGCAGCTCCCCTCCTCCATACTTTCAACCACAAGTATCTGGTGAGCACTTATCAACTAGGCACTGGTACTCCACCCTAAGAACTCAGGGACAGAGCTCTGCCACCTGGAAAGCCAGGCAAATCGCATCTGCTTGAGGCCAACACTGCCATACTTCATTTAATATCTGTAATAAACATCTTGAAAGAATGACAAACTCCTGGTCCATCCCCAAACCCTTTCTCTGTCAGAGTTAGTTTCCCTCTTCCCCAGCAGATCAAGAACCATGAAGCCATCCTTGACTCCTCTCTCCCAACTAGTGAATGCAACAGAACTCAAATATGGAGTGCAAAGTTCGAGGTCAGCTGTGGCAAGATTACAGTAGCATAAAGGGAAAAGGGCACTGCAGAGCCTAGACTGGGGAAAGAACTGAGGAAATAACCAGGAGATGCCACTGGAAGGTCTAAAACAAACAAGCCAAATACTGAAAGGATTAGGAAAAAACTGACAAGATGAGAAGAGAAGAGGGAAAATAAACTGGTGACTGTCAAAGCCAAATATACCAAATAAATGCAATAATGGCAACTAAAACTTATTGAGCACTTACTTACTATGCAATAAGCATTGCCTCAATGTCTCATGAGTCAATTCATTCCATTTTCAAATGAACCTGTGCAGTCAGTAATGTTATGGTTGAGGTAACTGAGACTCGGCCATAAAGCCACTTTCTCAAGATCACCAGCCTGCAAAGGGCAGAGCTGGGTTGAGACAAGGCGTCTAGCTCATGGGACCACACTCTTGATCAGGCACACTGCCTCCTGAACACAGGTCTGCAAGTCAGGGACTGTAGACTCCTTCTCACGTTTGTTTCTCATAGAAACAAACCTACCCTTGTGATCAGAATGACAAGTAAAGTCACAAGAAAGAACAGTTAATCACAATTATTTTCCATTTCCCATCAGAAAAGTATTTAGAAAATTACCTAGTATAAATCATGGGAAGAGATAAAGGTAAAGAATGAGGAAGAAAAATCTCAGTCATGTAGGCCAGTAAATATCAGATTTCCAGTACGAAATCTGAACCCAAATTTTGGGAATTAGCATAAGAACAGGTCTCCCTTCCATGATTATTTTGCCAATTAAACACAGCATAAAGATTTGGCTGTGAGTTGGAGGCCAGCCTGGTCTACATAGCAAGTTTCAGGACAGCCAGGCCAACATATCAAGACTGTCTCAAATTCATTCATTCATTTATTCATTCACTCACACACTCACCCACCCCTGTCATTGCATCATCCATCCAGCCACCACTTGCTATGGTACTCTTTCTCTGAGCTTGCTACTCCTCTTTCACCCCAGAGACTTCTCATTCTTGCATGGCAGATTTCTTAGGGTTCTACCTTCTCTCTGGGGCCACATTCTCCTGTAGCTCTGTCTGATCTTCCTCTGTGACTGGAGCCACAGTTCTTACCACCTGGCAGCTTCCAAACCAGCATGTAAAGGCTCAGTCTTCCTTTTAAACACAGAACTCAAACCCTCTCCACCTTCCAGTCCACAGTGGGAGCGGAAACAAGAGTCACCACCTCTCCTAGAGCCTCTCTTCACACTGTCACGCCTCCTTCAACTTCCCCAAATTTCTCACACACATATCCTTTGGAATTTCTAATCTGGATTATTTCTGAATAAGTGAGTCCTAGAGATCACATTTCCCAGACTATAACCCTTAGGTAGGGTCAGGAGACAGTTTCTGGTAGATGGGATATTTTTCACTTATAGACCTGGCCCACACAAACTTCCCCACCAGACTCTACTGTCCATATTTTCCTTCAGCCCTAGAACGTAATGCTTAGAATTGCTTCAAAAGTGTTGAGGATGCAGCTGTATTTACCAGCCTGGATCCCTGAATGATTGTATGGGTAAAGGTTACTAACTCGAGATGACTATTAACCTGACATCATAAAAAAAAATGTCTACTGTGAGAAAGGAAGCAGCGAAGGAACGAAACTAATCCTCCTATAGATAACGCTTTGAAACAGGTGGTCTGAACATGCTCTGCTAACCCAGCACCCACACCATTACACAAAGCATCTTCCTAAAATGCAAACCTGACGGCTGCCATTCAACAGGGCTCATCCCCTTCAAGGTGAGGCCCAAATTCTTCAGTAGAAAGTAATTTCACTAATCACCTACTACATGCAGGTGCAAGCGGAGCGCCAGCCCAGACTAATAAGGACAGTAACCAGTGTGGTGTGAAGAGTTAAGAGGAAGCGCTCAAACGGATATAATCTTCCAGCTCCTGCCCGAGAGACACTAAAAAACAAACCAGGAAGGTCAATGCCACCAAATGACCCAAAGCCAGGGGAGGGCTGTATAGAAAGGCAGCCCTGTGGCTAGGGGAGAGCCGGAACCAGTTCCCTGCGTTTCTTGAAAATCGATGAGTTGAGTGGCACTTCCAAAGCCTCCTTACGGCCGCGATTACAAGGCTTGCCGCCTGCCCCTCAAAGAGACCTCTCCACCTAGCTCTGCGGACCAGCTTCCCTCCCGGGACCCAGGTTCAGGTGTCCCTCCTGGTACCACGTTCTACCTGAGCCACTCCATCACCCAGCGCCTCACACCAAGCAGCTGATCAAAGAACGTTCTTTAGAGTGAAGGGACAGGCGAGGTTGTGGAACCGTCACCTAGCTGTCTGCCCCGAACGGGCGGGCGCGGGGGCCCGGGAGCGGAGGGGAAAGGGGGGGAGGATGCCGGCATCCTCACCCGGTCCTCAGGAACTTGCAGGCGCCGTAGATGAGGAACTTGCAGAGATGCAGCTGTGCGCAGAGCCCGGTGCAGCCCGGCTTGGGGCCCTGGTGCGCGCGGCACAGCCGCAGCGACGACACGGCCAGCACCACGCGCTCCGAGGCCGCCGCCGCCGCCCGGCCCGCGCCCGCCCGCGAGGCCACCACGAAGCGCCCGCGGTCCCGCAGCAGCCGCTCCAGCGCGTCGGCGCCCAGGCTGCTCCGCAGGCGCCGCTGCAGCTCGGCCAGCTCCAGGGCGCCCCCCGCCGCGCACAGCACCTGGGTCACCTCGGCCACCGCCACCGCGGCCTGGGCCATGGCCGTCGGAGCGCGGCTAGCGCGGACGCGGGCGGCGGTCACGGGCCCCGCCGGACTCGCTCCTCGGGGCTGGGGCGGCTGGGAGGAAACGAAAGCGAAAGCGGGGCCCCGGCCGAGAAAACAGGAGTCGCGGGGCCTCGCCACGCCCCCGGGCCTCAGCTGACGAGCCGGCGCCCTCGCCTGAGGGCCCGCAGCTGCGG